TTGGATTATAATCCAAGTTACGACCCTCTCCATTCTCTCTAACTTCTCTCCTCATTTTCTCAAAAAATCTTTGAAAAGCTCAAATCTTTCTTCAGTCCAAGCTTGGAAGTTCACTTTCCTTGCTATTTGGTAAGATCTTGAAGCTTGGTTTTCCATTCGTTTGGTTATTTTCTTGTTTTTCCTCCTCTAAATAGATCTCTTATGATATTTAGGAAGAACTCAACATTTGAACAAGATCTCACAAAAACCATTCACCAAACCTCTATTTCAAGGTAAAGAGAGCTCTATCTTGTTACTAAGAAAGTGATATGTTTATGTTCATGAAAATGTTGTGATGAAATGCATGGTTTTGAGTATACATTCAATGAAAACATGTTCTTTTGTTATGTTTGAAGCATGTTTTGTGATGTTGATGATGTGTATGATCATTATTTAAGTGTATAAGCATGTATGTTGTGGACTGAGTCTAAGGATGACCAACCCTCGACAACAATTGATTGATATATGACGTAGTAATAAACTTGAGTAAAATAGAGAAATGAAGGGATGAATAATATAATAGTATACAGGTAATGAGTTCAGGTTATAGTAAATAATGAATTTAGGCCATAATGACTAATAAAAAGAGTAAATCCATAATGAGAAATGTAAAAAATGAAATGGAAAATATGGAAAGAGAAGTGAAATGAGGAAGGGACAAGTATAGATAGTTCAGAGGTACACTGGGGGTATGAAAGATGGAGGCGATTGAGAAATCTTGAGGAAATAAGGTGGTGGATGTTCTTCTTGAATTGCACATAACAAATGAGAGTAAGAGCACCACAAATCTTACATTTGTTTCCTGACTTAAACTCCTTACCACACTTTTGCTAAAAGGGGTCAGGTCAGCATACGTTGTATCCATGTAGCTGCGGCTATCCAGCAACTATCTATGCTAATGAAGACCTCAAAGGATCCCAGGGGCAATAAAAGTGTAAAGTGAGAACTCTGAGTGTTAATAGAGAAGAAATGTAATAAGTTGAATAAATGATGAATGTTGCTTTTATTTGCATATGATCTTGTGGCATAATGATTTGTTGTATTATTGAAGTGATTGTGAATGGATATTTGGTAATAAGAATAGAGGCTCATCCTTATATAACCATTTAGGGAACTAAGATGACAGCACCCAAAGAGCATTAGACTTATAGATAGTTTTGTACAGTGTAGGTTAAATTATGTATTTAACGAGTAACATAGATTTTGCTATTTTAAGTTGGCTTACATGTTGATAATGTACCTCGTAACATTATTATGCTAGAAATAGAACTATCATATAGTGTAACTTTTGATTCCCCTGTAAACAATAGAATCCACCATACCTTGTGTATGTACCTCTACCAAGCCACAGATAGAACTCTAGCAGCTGTGACTTACCTGTTCACATATTATGGTCACGACCACCTCGAAAAATCAACCCAATGGACTTTTAAGCGAATTACTGGCAGGCAGGCCACTACGGATTCAAGAGATCTTTATCTTGGGTCGGATGAGGAGCTTGATTCTGAGGATTTTGCAGAGATAGAGAGGTGGCATGGAGATGACTAGTATTGTTTCAATCTTAGGGTGATAGGCTACTCACTAGGACTTGTTTTATTTTGTATATTGTAAATGTTGTAAATAAGTCCTAATGTTATATTTTGCAAATGTCAACCCCTTGTAAACTTATGAGAACAATGTATATTAATGCTATTTCATGTTTCTTTTAATTGGTTTAATTCTCATTACCTTGTTATTTATTTTTTGTAACTTTGAAAAAAAATAAACAAAAATATTTTATAATTCCACGTGTTATATTCGGCTGACAAATGAATTTAATTTAAATCTTTTTCCTAACCACAGAATTATTTTTTTATTGTTTTGAATAAAATAAGGATGTTACATAAGTCCTATAATTACTTATGTACAAATTATTAATCATTTCACTCTAGTATGATTTATATATTAAAAAAACAAACATATTTTATTTTTTTGACTTAAATATGTTTGTGATCCTCATATTTTAGTGAATATTTTTAATTTTAATCTCTATGTTTTTATTTTAGTCTCTAATACTGATATAATCAAATAAAAAATTGACATGCAGCAGTATCTCAATAAACTAAAAACAAAAATTTAAAAAGAAAATAGGAAATAAAATAAAAATATTTGTTTGAAGAGACTAAAATAAAAAATTTGCTAAAATGTAAAGACTAAAAATATATTTAAGTCACATTTTTTTATAAAAAAAGACATTTTTATAAGTGTTTTAATTTTTTTTTATTTTAACTCTAAAAAAAATCTAAATTGTAAATTATAAATATTTTTTAGGCCGTTAATGATCAAATGCATGTGTGACACCTTACCTTAGATAAATGATGATACCTTGTACTCACAAAAAATAATTTTAATATTTTTTAATCATTTAACATATTTTAATTAAATGGTTGATTGTAAAACTAAACAATCCTAATTCAATTAACTCAATTATAAGTAATTAATTTTCAGCTAGACAAACTAGAAATTTTTGCATAACAACTCTAAGCTGATAACTAATTTATTAAATATAGACTAGATGTAACTCTTAATTTATTTCATTATTTTTCTAATCTATTATCAACAGATCTAAATTTTTTACAGTTTTAACGCAAATTACAGTGCAAACTTAGAAGCGAATATATTTATTTAAGTAAATTTGGTAAAAAAAATATTTTTTATTTAAGTAAATAAAAATCTACTTAAACAAATTTGGTGAAAAATTAATGAAAAATTTTAAAATTTCATCTTCTTTCTCTTTAAATTACGAAAAATTTGAAAAATCTTTTTACAAAATCCTGTGATCATCTTTATTGTAACTGTGCATGTATAAATAGTTTCATTTTCAAAGAGGTTCTTTAGAAAGTGAAGAACAACAAAAGATACAATGTCCAATATGAAAATCAAAAGTTTCTCAATCCTCCCTAGTTTCATCATATCTTCTATAGAAAATATCCATCAAGTAGGGATTGTTATGTCACAAAGAACTAAGGGTCTCAAATCATTTAATTCTGCAATTGTTTCTCGACTAATTTCTTAAAGTTATTATTCTTATAATATTTATCATCACTCTCAATAATTTATCTTAATTTTTAAATAGTTACATCTTACCAAGTTTTTGATGATCAAGTAGGCATTGATAAGAAACAAATGTCTTTCAAATTTTTCATAATTTAAGGAAAAAAATAAAGTTTTGAAAACTTTTACAATTTTAGTTTAAGCAAATTTTTTTACTTAAATAAAAATTACTTTTTTTACTAAAATTGTTTAAACAAATTTTTTTAACTCAGAACAAATTTAGACTAGGGTTATAATTAGCGCTAAGAAACTGCAGTTTGGATCAATTATCAATTGCCTTTCTACTTCTTAACGGTTTTTTTTTTTTTTTCTGTCGAAGTGTTGTAACTTCAAAATTATGTAAAATTCCAAAAATTTAAGAGTTCTAAATAGAAGATTAACCACCTATAAGTAGAACGTAATATCTTAAATGTTTGTCAAATTCTTAAGGAATATTCGCCACAAACATTAGGCCTTTTGCCTATATATTATGCGTTTTAATATTCGCCAATAAGCTACCAAATGCCCAATTCATTGAACAATAATCTCCTAGGACGCTTTAAAAATGTAACACTTCATTGATTTTGGCCATTGGGGTTTCCGTGTATTTGAAGATAATTCGAAATTTGTACAAACCAATTGAAAACGAAAATTCATGGTGCATTACAATAGAAGAGAACTCACAGCGTCTAATTTATTCAATTTATATCAATCTTATTTTATTATTATTACATGTTGAAACTAAACAACTCAATACTGTATAACCCATTGAAAAGTACTGTATCGGACCTAGATTCTCTTCCGTAATTGGACGTCCTGTTACGTTGATTTTGTATTTTTGCTTAATCTAAAAAAATTTATTTAAGCGAAAATACAAAATTTTGCTTGACTAGACCGTCCAGTTCGCATCAAAACGGAAGAGAATCTCAATCCTACCGTATTCTAAACCCAATTTTTTTTTTTCTATAACTTGACGTTCTGTTACGTTGATTTTATATTTTTACTTAAGTCAAAAAAAAATTTGTTTAAACAAAAATACAAAATTTTGCTTGACGTTCACGCTAAAAAGAAGAGAATCCCGTTCCACGGTATCCCATGGCAACTAACCTTCCACAAACCCCATCGTGTATAACTGGCTTATTCAATTTTTCGTACTATTGTACGATGAAGCAAAAAGTCTTATTTGGACCAAAATTGATGAATCTATCATTATAATTCCAGAATAAGGTAACACTGAGAAACGAGATCAATCTCTGTAGGGATTGGACTGAATTCTGCGTCAACGAGTTGTTGCAACAATGCAAACCCAAACAGAACAATAGTGAATTAACTAAATAGATCAAACGAGTAACACTATTTTATTGTAAATTTATGGTGTATTCATGACTTATGAAAATAGTTTAGACTCAAATACTTTTTAATTTATTTTAATAAATTTATTGGTATAATTTTTCATTTGTTAATATATTTTTTAACTTATTTTAATAAGTTTTAAGATCAAATTTATGTCATAAATCTTCGAAAAGAACTTATTAAGTAAATGTATAATTTGTTTATTCAAATACACTCTTAATCATATTTTCGTATCTTTAATTTGACATGCGTGTAGTTTTGGTTTTCGTAACTTTTTATTTTGCACTAACTCAATCCTTTTACTTTTAAAATTGTACAAATTCAATTACTCCGCTGATTTTATTCTACTTAAAATCCTTCAATAATTATTTTCTGTTCAAATATTTGAGAGATTTATGACGAATTTATTATATGAAATAATTTTAAATGTCTAAAAAATAGTGACATTCTGACAAGATTTACAAAATTTTTAAGATGTGAGATTAGAGTTTGAAGAAAGAAAATTAAAATGTTTTTTTTTTATATTTTGGATGAAATTAATTTTTGGAATTGTGTATTTTGAAAAAAAAAAAGTTTAAAAGAGGTAGATGAGATTGACAAAGACATTAAGGTTGTATAATTTTAAAAGTAGAAAGACTTAATTGACTTAAAACAACAATATTGACATAACAAATTATCTAAACCTTTTGTCGAAATGATGTATATATACAAACTCAGTCCTATATATCCTTTTTACTTATTAACCAAGATTGGTAATGCCAGGAGCGGAACTTTGTGAGTTGTCTTGACAAGATTTAGAGTAGATGCTTCTACTTGATATAATGATGCTCTTTGATTTAAGAGAAAGTTCAATTTATACCATTCAACATTGCATGATACGAAATTTCGTCCTTAAACATCAAGACGTACAATATTGGTTCTGTCATCTTAACGTATGCGAAACAGTATTGCCAAATGACGTTCATTCATTTGACGAAAGTTATCACACTACTGACAAACAAGAAATCCTGACCAAACACGTCACTTTAAGTGACAAAGTAGATCAAATTTTGGACAGATGACAGCAGCGATGAACATAATCTCACACGTTGGAACTTTGAGGACCATCTTGCATTTTCTAAAAGTTTTAACAGACCCAAATGAAAATTTTTTAAAGCTAGAATATTTGACATTTCCTTTCTTTCGAACTTAAAAACACAAGCAGCTAAATATGAATTAAATTTCAGAATATTTCTCTTGACTATTCGTACTCACATATCGTGAAAGTGATAACATTTCTTACTAGGATGAGAATAAGGTAAAGTGGCGGATTCAATTACCTTCTCTGAACAGAGTAAACTGCAAAGACAGATTGCCAAATTCGAAGATTTGATGCATAATCAGAATAAAATATGTATTTGAAATCATGTTAAAAAGCTTGTAAGTGCAGAAGTTATAATTAAAAATAAATGTAAAATCCAAACATGCTAAAGATTTTTTTTACACGTACCTCACATTATATTAAGAGAATGAAATTGACTAAAACGAATTATGCAGGGTACCAATCCCAGACTACGCAGAGGGAATAAAATCAGTTCAGTGTTAGGAAATGAGAAAAATGTATCAGGGGAAAAATAAGTAACATCAAGTTCACTGCCGAAAATCAAGTAAAAAGCCACTCTGCCATCAATTGAAGTATCCTCTATGTATTACGGATATCAAGTGAAAATTTGATTCAAAGCTTATAGACTGAGTCCAGAAATAGACATCTATTTCATAACAAAACCCCTGATATTTACTTGGAAATTTCAAAGCATCAGACTTAAACCACACTAGAAATTACCTGCAAATATTATGGCACAGATGTATGTAAAAAAAAAAAAAAGACAGCCACATGAAGACCTTGCTCTAAAATATGTAACTTCCATATGCAGTTTTACGTGCTGCAATATTCTAAAATGCCACAAAAATGAGAGGATAAATAATAGTAACACATGAATGCAGGTAGCTTCTCTATTCAAGTAGTTGCCACGGCAACTGCACTGGCATTCCCAAAGCTCATCAACATATGAGCAGTAGTTGGAAAGAAGCTTCCACCAGCTGCGAGAGAGTGCAGTATAAGGCTTGGGATATTATTTGTATAGATATTAACCCCGTTAACCTTATCACTTGATATTTAACCTCCACAAATGATGAAAATGTTAATATCTGACACGTTATTCCTTATCCTATGAATTCATCAAACATACAAAATAAAAAGAAAAATTACTATCTTAAATTTATCCAATATTAACCCCAATCAAACAAGCATCAATAACCAAAAGGAAAAAACAAATACAAAGGAAAAAAAGCTTTTATAGTTATTGTTGTTGCTTTAAGATCACTCTCTAGTAAAATATAAAGAAAATTGCAACTAAGAATAAGGCTCATGTCCCTGTGATATGCCTTTCTTTTAAAGGTTACCAAGATTCTATTTGAAATTTGAGTAGTTAGTAAGAAATCTGAAAAGAGAAAATATGCAATTATACATCCATGTAAGTGAGGAATGGTACGCCCAAATAAATGTTAAAACCATAGCTGATTTCATTTATACTTAATACAAATTCTAGCTTTCTATAAACAATAAAAATTGGTAGTTGCAATATGAACCAAAACACAAAATGAGCAAAACTGTGATAGCAACAGAACCCAAAGGAAATGGCAAACAAAAAATTGTCATCAGCAAAGTGAGGTTGACGATGGAGTGATGGAAGTTCATAGGGAAAAAAAATTATCTGCCAATTTCAAGTGACTGAACACTAGATCAGCAGAAAAAAGCATACAAAAACCTGTCTATAACCTCAAGACTTAAACCTTTCATTCAGTCCATGATTTCCTTTGACCTCTTGGTTTCATTAAGTGTCATATGTACAGCAAGCAAAATGTGAAAGAACCCTTCTCCAGTTTCAGATAGGATAGATCAATGTCACCAAATTTGTCAACTTAGTCCAGCAACACCCTAAATGTTGAGAACCTTTCTTTTTCCCCTTTCCTTTTCAACTGTCAAAGGGCTTCAATTCTTAAGGTGAAGACCCTCTTCTCATGCTTCATCAATAACATTGTCTCTCAGAGAGAAGCTATCAAGCATATCATTATCTGTGTCAGCCTGAAGCTCTTTAAACATTGCCATTACTTGTATCATGGTTGGCCGCCGGTATGGTCTCTCATCTAGACATTCAAAAGCAATTCTCAAACATTGATAAAGTTCACTTTCACTAGATGTTTGCATAATTAAGTCAGGATCAAGTATTTCGCTAATCCTTTTCTCTTTGTAAAGCTTCTTAGACCATCCAACAAGATTACTGTCATCACCAAATTCAGACGAGTCAATTGGCCTCTTCCCTGATAGAAGCTCTAGCAGTATGACACCATAGCTATAGACATCCCCTTTTGCTGTACATCTAAAACTTTGGTAGTACTCAGGGGGTACATAACCAGGCGTCCCTGCAAGTGTGCTGACTGTTAGATGAGTGTCAAGGGCATTAACCAATCTTGCCATGCCAAAATCTGAAACTCTGGCTTCAAAGTTTTCATCAAGAAGAATATTGCTGGACTTCATATCCCGGTGTATAATGTGAGGTATGCAACTATGGTGAAGAAATGCAAGACCTCTTGCTGACCCTACGGCAATCTTCTTTCTTGCTGTCCAATCAAGCTTTGAACCTCCTCCTCCTTTGGCCCTATCATGCAGAACAGCCTCCAGGCTCCCCCATTTCATGTACTCATACACAAGAAGCCTCTCCTCTCCAACTTTACAGTAACCCAGCAATGGAACCAGGTTTCGATGCTTGATCTTCCCAATAGTTTCCATTTCAGCCATGAATTCTCTATCTCCCTGACACGTGACATGAATGAGCTTCTTGATAGCAACAACACAACCATCTTTCAGCTTAGCTTTGTAGACTTCACCAAACCCTCCAGACCCTATCAAACTCTCAGCACTGAAACCATTAGTAGCCTCAAGAAGATGGGCAAATGTCAACTTACGCAGAGGTTTCTCAAAGGTGGCAACGTTGATGCTCAGAGGCTCAGGAAAGCTAGAAAGTTTCCAACTGCTACTACCAGAAGTTGGAAGACTTTCGATATACTTTTCTCTCTTTTCCTCCTTCCTCTGGGCCTTCCTAACCCGGTATAAAGCTAATAAAACCCCAAGAACAAACAAGAGGAAGCCAAGGAGGCCAATGGCAACCCCTGCAGCAACAGGTTGCTTCTTCTTCCAAGCACCAACAGCTGCTGAGTGATTTGAAGGGCCACAAGGCGGCAACGGGACCCCACAAAGGGCAGAGTTGTTTTCATATCTGGATGCAGGGAAAGTGGTTAGCTGACCTCCAGAAGGAATGGAACCTGTAAGGTTATTATTAGACACATCAAGGTCACTGAGAAAAGATAGACCTTCCAACGCCCCAGGGATGAACCCCTGAAGTTCATTATGGGAGAGATCAAGCACTCCTATAGCTTTTAGACCACCAAAACTATCTGGAATTGTTCCAGTTAGCCTATTATGTCCCAAATTCAAGACCTGTAAATAGGCCATTGCACCCAAGTTTCCAGGAATACTTCCAGACAACAAATTATAGGACAGGTCAAGGTAGATCATGCTACCATTAGAGCTAAAGGTATAGACCGTCCAACCAGAGTAAATCCGAGTCAAAGGACAAGAATGCACCATAGGAAAACCTTCAAGCCTCTCTGTCCTGATATCCTCAAACTCAACCAACCCCCCTGCTCCCCTGCAACTAGTCCCACCCTCATTCCTCACAAATGCAAACTGCTTCCCTGAAACACTCCCCGGAACAACCAACCCAGACTGGTTTGCAAGCTCAAATGGGATTGTCCCAGTCAAGTTATTACTATTCAAATCCAACCATATCAACCTCCTACACTGGCCAATCTCCCGGGGAATCCTCCCAGTCAGCGAATTGTTTCCCAGCTGAAGAATAGCCAATGCATTCAGATTCCCAATTCCAGCAGGTATCTCCCCACTAATGCGGTTGCTCGCCAAAGACACCCAAATCATGTTAGTGCAATTGGCAATAGACCGAGGAATGGACCCCGAAATGAAATTATTGTTAAGAATCAATGTCTCCAAGTTTCCTCCTTTCTCGCATATTCCTTCAGGAATCTCACCCGTGAGGTTATTCGCCCACATGATCAAGTCAGAAAGCTTAGGCAAAGCCCAAATTTCCCACGGTATAGAACCGTTCAAACTGTTAAAGCTAAAATCAATAGTCCTCAGATTCTTACACTCACCAAGCTCCGCTGGCACCGTCCCAGAGAAGTAATTACCGGCTAGGATCATCTTCTCCAACGCTGAGGGGCAAAATGCGGAAGGAACATTGCCGGTGAACCCGTTGGAACTGAGGTCAAGAACCAAAAGCTGCGTGCAATTAGCAAGAGACGGGGGAACACTCCCTGTTATGTTATTGAACGCTGCATTGAGATACCTAAGACTCCCAAGATCACTCACAACCGAATCAAGGAAGCTTCCAGAAAGATAGTTCCTCTCCAGGTTGAGGCTCTGCAGAGAAAAACACTTTTCGAAACTCAAAGGCAATTCACCAGAAAGCTTGTTCTCCGAAAGATCAATGTCCACCAGAGTTTCACAAGCGTTTCCGAGTTCTTTAGGTATTTTTCCGGAAAATCGATTATGCGCTAGAAACAGAGACTTCAAACTCCTTAAACCACCGAGAAGATTCCCGGGAATCTCCATCTTGAACTCATTGCGAGAAAGATCTAGAATCTCCAGAACGTTGCAGTTCCTCAACCCGCTCGGAAACTCGTTTTCGGAGAGCACATTGTTAGAGAAACTCAACCGAACGAGGCTCCGGCACCCACCGAAATCCATCCCGGAGAAGCCGCCGGAAAAATTGTTTGACGAGAGATCCAAGACCTCAACCGCGTCGTTTACAAGCCGAGGCGGTATCTTCCCCGATAGAAGGTTACAAGACAAATCCAACGTCGAAAGGTTCGCGCTACTCGGAGTGAGTGTTTCCCTGAGTTGACCCGCGAGTTTGTTGTCAGAGAAGTTAAGCAGAACCAAACGAGAGTTTCCAAGAGCGGTTTGGAGAAGGTTTACGTCTGAAACACGGTTGCGGGATAGGTCGAGCTGGACCAGTCCGAGACCAGGCCCAGACCCAAGCCCACCGGTGATGAGGTTGTGAGAAAGGTTGAGGTGGCCGAGGTTGTTACAAGGGGTGAGGTTAGCGAAGGGGAACATGCCAGAGAAGTTGTTAAAGGAAAGGTCTAGTGTTTGGAGCGCGCAAGAGGGTGAAACTGAGAGGTTGAAAGAGGTGAAGGAGTTGCCATGTAAGAAGAGGAGTTGCAGAGAAGGAAGGGAAGTGAGAGTGGGAAGGTGGAGGGTGCCGGAGAGGGACGCGCCTCGGAGGTCGAGAGCGTTGACTCGGCGGTCCTCAGCCGAGCAGGAGACACCGCGCCAGGTGCACGGGGACTGTGCATGTGGAACCCAGTCGGAGAGGAAGTTGTGGGGATCGGAGGAAACATGTAACTGCTTGAACCGTAATAACAGCACTGCGTCGTCTTCAGAAGCTTTTGTTGTTGCTGCTGCTATTGTGGTAACTGTTGCAATCACCAATAAGGGAATCGCAACGAACCCCACTACTAGTGTTGGTGCTCTTCCTCCTTCTCTTGGTGGTGACCATGACATCTTCTGCTTAAGGTTTGGTTTCTCTCTTTTCATTTCACTTTTTCTTCATTGGAAAATAATGATTAGCTTATACTCCACTGCCATTAACCAATTATTCAAAAATCAAAACACTATGTTTCGTTCTTGTCTTGCTTGGGCTGCGAGCGTGTGGGTGAGTCCAAAAATGGAAGGAACTACTCTATTTTCTTTTTGTTTTATTTTTTTTAACTTTTTTGGAAGAACCCCAAATAAGAGTGTTTCTTGCCCCGAATTTCAGAATTGTGTGGCTGTACGCGTACCTACCCTCAGCTAATAGCTTTGATTTTGGGGCTCTTTTTCAACGTTGCTATAGGGGAAAAGACGAACTTGCTAGGGAAGCTGAAATTACGTTAGGGGAAGGAATCGTCGTGTTATTATAAATTTTAAATTATAAAACAAATTAATGTTGGCCTTCTTTTTAAAAAAGTGGTCCAAATGACTTTCTTGTTTCAAAGACGTAATTATCACCCAAACATTGGGTTTTGAAAATGTGCAAACGCGGAACCCAGTGTCAAAATTGAAGGAAAAGGGGCCACGGGAAATTCAAAAAGCTAGTGCCTAGTGTATAGTGAATTCAACAGTGAGAAGCCGAAACTCTATAAATTGACCTCATGCTTTATTTGGAAGAAAGAGAAAATAAACAAGAAGGAAATTAGGGTTTTGAAATTTTTATATGATATTTAAAAATAATATATCAAAATACATAATTTTTGAAAAAAAATGAATATATGAGATTGAAAAATGGTTAATTGGTAGAGGTATAAAAATTCAAAAACAAAACAGTTAAAAATTATAAAACATCAAAAATTATCATCAGCAATTTTTTAAGGATGTTAAAAAATAAAAAACTACTATTGATATTTTTAAAAAAATTAAAAATTTAAACTACCAAAAAAATGTCAATGGCAGTTTTTCAGCTCAAAAAATGTTAATAGTAATTTTTGAAAAAATTATATTTCTGTAATTTTTTAAAAAAATCTCATATTTTAGTATGTATTTTTTTTTCATGTGAAAAAGAAGCCAAAAACGAGAACTTAAATATTAAATATGAAAATATAAAAATATGATATTTAAATTTAAATTAATAAAAATAAAAGAAATACATTTATTAGATAAATAAAAAATAGGTAACTTACATCAAAGATGTTTTATAATAATAATTTTAATTCAATAAAATATTAATTTTTAATAATTTTATTTTTATTACTTTTAAAATAATTAAAAAATAAGCTCACAATTTTCTTCTATTTAAATCTCACTATTTTAAGTGAAAAATTTAAATGATAAACTCTGCATTATAAATATTCCATATAAAACAAAACTTTTATCTCTCCATATTTTTTAATTTAAAGAAACAAACAGTCTATATTAAATTTTTATTTTGATTCTATAGGACATTTACATATAGATATGGACATTATACACAGTTAATTTATTTCCTTTATAAATAACACTAATTCATTAGTAATTATTATTATTATAATTAAGTTATCATTTTAATTAATAAATAATTAATATATTGTGTATATATTTTCAAAAGAATAATAATTTTCGTAGAATAATTAATAAATGCTTTAAAAATACATTTATTGTCAATGTTAAGTTAATTATCTAAAATCTAAAACTTATATAAAAGAAAATAGTGATAAATCATTATGCAATGTAACATGACCGGACTTTGAAACAATTTTTTATAAAAAAAATAAATTAAATGGACATTTATTATTATGGATTATTTTTGTATATAATATTAAAAATAATATACTAAATATAATTTTTTGAAAAGTTATAAAAAATTAAAATTGAAAAATTGTTGTCCACAATTTTTAGTATAAATAAATAAATTCAGAAATAAAATAATAGAAAATATTTAAAATTGTTATTAATGATTTTTTAAAAATATGTTAAAAATCAAAATTTTGATATTTTTTTAAATTATAATAAAATATTTTAAACATATAAATGATTTTAAAATTTTTTAAATATTTATAATTTTTTTAAAATATTATATTTTAGTTTTTTGTCCTTAAAAAGTTGAGTTGTTTATTTATTACATACGTGTGGAGCGAGAACACACACCGTATGCTGCAGGGGATGTGCATTAGAAAGTACAAACAACAAACTTGCTTATCTTATCTACACAATGGGATGTGGAAAAATACCTTTTGGAATTTGACAGGCTGCTTGCAGCAGGTACGATGTTCAGGTTGTCTAGTGGCACTGTGCTAAATAAAAACAATTGCTAGATTTGTGGGGATTTTTCATGCAAGACAAAGATATGAAACAGTTCAATTATCATATGCACTTAACATGCACCACCATGGTGGGGCAAGGGAAACAGTTGAACGCCATACTTTGTCTTGGCAACATTTGTTACTTGAAAATTTGAGACAAAATCATCTGCAACTGTAACTTTGATATGATGGAGTAGGTTGATTGGAAAGGAAGAAGAGCATTTGAGCCTTTGATTTGCAGAAAACGTTGCACAAAAGAAATGGTCAAGGATAATGAAAGATTTGAATGCAAATGCAAAATTAATTGAAATACTAAATGAATTTATAGTTTAAATAGATTAATTAAAATAACAATTTGGTTAACTTTAATATTTAAGAATGAGTTTAAATATTTAAACTAACATTTTTTTATTAAAAACAATTTATTACATTAAAATATAAAAACATAATAAATCTTTTTTATATAAAAATTTTGCTATATTTTAATACTTAAATATGATTTTGAAAAGTAAGGTTATTAAAATCCTTAAAATTAAAGGAATAGAAAAATAAAAAGCGAAGAATAAGGGAAAGTGGTGCCCCCACTTCTCAACATTTTGTTACTTTTTTTCTCATTTATCAAGGTTTAGTCAAACTTCAGATTTGGATTTATCTTACACATACTCCTGATAAATTATTTAATTTTAAATAGATTTCCACTAAAAACAATAAACAATTTAGGATCTTGGATGGTCCAAGATAAGTTTAAAACTCTTTAGGTTTTGGACGATGGAATTAAATTTATAATTTAAGATTTCAATTTCAATTTTGCTATTTCTAAATATTTTATGTTTAATTTATAAAGAAATAAAATGTAAAGTCTTATTATTAAAATGTAATATTTAAAATTTGAAAAATTAATTATATATATCATATTAAAAGTTTATTTATTCTGCTAATAATCAAAATGCTAAAATATAATAATATAATTCTAATTTGAATATAATAAATAAAAATATTATTTTTTTACAATTTAAATGTGGTCTAATATTTCACTTTTAATATTAGTGAGCTTCTAATTCCTTCTTTTTTTAGCATATATAATTAGTTTTTCCTTTTAATATCTTAAACATAGAAACTCGAGAAGAACATTCATTTACTTTTTGAATAAGCATAATTTAATTATTAATAAACATATCAACATGAATTAACTTTATTTATTTAGAATATTTTACTATAGATTAGATCATAATTAGTTAACTATAATTTAAGTAAAAAAATTTATTGACCTAACTTAACTTAGTTAAGAAGAATGAGTTATCTAGTTCAAAATATCAACATCTAATAAAGATACACATCTCCCATAAAGAAATAACAAATGTGCTTATATTATCTTGTATATTCTTGGACATTTGTAATTTTGTATCTTTCCTTTGATTTTGAGTAATTCTTCTTGCATTTTTATATATTGATTCTAGATAACAATACAAAATCATCTTACTTTTTTATCATTCTTTTTTCTTGATGGCTATGTTCTATATATCATGAAATCTTCTAGTGAATACATCACTAATGAAAGTGGTAAGAAATTCAATCTAGCCTTTAAGAAACAAACTACAACAGATCAGTTATTATTCAGATGATTATTTAATTTTATGACTCAAAATTGTAATTTAATTACTTTATTATGAAACCTAAACAACTTTAAAAAGAAGTTCAAAGCTTAGCTAGGGTACACACCCTATACAAAATTATAATGCTTTAGAATGAATTTTATAAAACTAGAAAATGAGGCTTGAAGATAGTTCATCTTAAAAAAATGAAAGATCTATCTGGTAATCTAGCATTTGTAAGGAATATAACATTGACAGTGGATTTAATCACTCAAAAACTATCAGGAATAAATTATAAATACAATATAATTATTGTTAAATTGTCTAATAAGAAAGAATTAACTTTGGTAGAAGTGAAAATTCATCTCCTCACCTTTGAGAATAGATTAGAGTAAATCAATAATATGAATAATTTGATATTGAATCCCACAACTAATATTATAGAGAAAAGAGATGCTAGAAGGGGTAGGTTTAATGCTTGTAGATGATGGAAAGGACTGAACCAAAGAGCTCTAAAAGGAGGAAGAGATTGTGGTAGAACTTCCAAAGACAAGATCATTTGCCAAGTGTACAGTAGGCCAAGCCTTGATACACCTCATTGTTACAATAGGTTTGACAAAAATGTGTATGGAACGACCATCAATCAAAGGGAAATTAGATAGAATTAGAAGTCTTAATGCTTTTATGGTCTCACCCAACACTGTCTAAGATCCATACTAGTATTTCAACAGTCAAGCATGAAATTAATCATGATACTTATGATCTAAAGAAAATATAAAAGTTAAATGAGCATGATGGTAAGGATTCTCTGATTATTGGTAATAGTATTTAACTTAAAATTTGTACTTATGGTAATGTTATCATTAACATCTAACAATAATATTTTATGTATTGTTTTGTAAAGGATAAAATGACAAGAAATGTTTTATTATAAGGGCAAATTAAAGATGGACTCTGATGGATACTCACTGATACAGCATCAACGAATAAAGACTCTTTTGCCTTTTCTATCAATAAAGAAGACATGACACATGAAACTTAACCACCCCGACAACAAAGTATTAAGTGAAGTTAAAAAAAAACAAAGTATTTAGTGAAGTTAAATACATGTGATATTAAAATTCATATGCATATTAACTTTTAGTTTTGTAAAGCTTATCAATTTGGAAAATCTCATAATTTACCTTTCAAGCATTCTTCCTCTTATTCTTCAAAACTTCTTGATTTAATACAAATAGATATGTGGGGTCTAGCATCAATTAATTTTGTTTCTAGATTCAAGTATTATGTATATTTCATTGATTTTAGTCAAT